TATGGCAGCATGTGGCCCCAGGGCAGCCGGGGCCTTGCGAAAAGACATGTCCAGAAATGAACATGACCGTGGCTTGGAACGACTGCCCCGAGGCACAGGCTCCAGGCTGTGTGTGTCAGCCCGGGCACTTCCGCAGCCAGACAGGCGGCTGTGTTCCCGAAGAGCATTGTGAATGCTGGCACCATGGGCGTCTCCACTCGGTGAGACACCAGCTGCTTTTCCTGTCCACGGATTCCCCACCCACTGACCTGTAGCTGTTCTGGCTGCCTACCCCCAGCCCCGCAGTAGTACACAGGCTCTGAACTCTCAGGACCCAGCTGGCCCTGGGTTCAACGCCCCCTGGCTCTAGTGTATTGAGTTTTCCCAACCAGACTCAGGTCCTGGGCCAGTGCACTGGCTGGAACTCCCAGGCTGGGTTAGAATTGAGGTGTTACCATGGAAGTCCAGTGGGCTGGAGAGACAGCTCAAAGAGAAAGGGCGTGTAGTGCTCCTTCAGAGGACCTCAGTCTAGTTCCAGCACCCACATCTGGTGGCTCATAACCACCTATAACTCCTGCTCCAGGGGATCCAATGCCCTCTTCTGGTCTCCACAAGCACTTATGTGCACAGGCGTGTGCGCGCACACACACACACACACACACACACACACACACACAGAGAGAGAGAGAGAGAGAGAGAGAGAGAGAGAGAGAGAGAGAGAGAGAGAGTAAAATAAAAATAAAATCTTACAAAAGAAAAAAGAGAAAATCCAGGAGAGACCAACCAGAGCTTCCTCCCCCCCCCCCCCCCCACCTGCAGCCTGGATCTGAATGGCAGGAGCCCTGCGAGAGCTGCCACTGCCTCCGTGGGAAGAGCTTCTGCTCTCAACACTGCCCAGGCCTCACCTGTGCTCAGGTACCCTGTGGCCCTGTAGTCTTCTTGACAGCCCCCCAATGCCTTCCCTCTATGGCTGGTCTTAGGGTTTCTGGGCAGGCAGTGTGGGGTGATGGGATGTCCCCCTGAGTGGACCATGGATGGCTCTCTGTAGGGTGAAGTGATGGTGCAGGAGCCAGGGAGCTGCTGTCCCATTTGTCGGCGGGACACTCTGGGTATGGAGGGTATGGGTACCTGTAAACGCCCTTCTCTGGCCTAAACCTTTCTGCCTCACCATCTCACACCCAGCCTGCTGTTCCCACATTCCTCAGGCTTGCCTGCATGAGGATCAGAGTGACTCCCTCATCCCAGGCTCTGCCCTACATGTCTTTGCCTAAAGTCCCCCCAGGCATAGCTTCTTCCTCTGTCTTGATGTTACCCCCTCACCCCCAGAGGAGGAGCCAGCCTCCTGCCGGCACCTCACGGAACTCAGAAACCTCACCAAGGGTCCCTGCCGCCTGGATCACGTAGAAGTGAGCTACTGCAGTGGGCATTGCAGGTCCAGCACCAACGTCATGACTGAGGTGAGCTGGGGGCTGCCCTACAGATCCATTGGGTAGGTCAGCCAGTGCCCTTGAGGGCTTGGCACTAGCTGAGGACCTTGGAAGAACCCAGAGCACATGAGGAACACAGTCCATTCTCACAGAGCAGACAGAACTGGGACTGTGGGGTGTCAGAGCCCTTCTCCAAGGTGGTGGTATACACATATGCCCAGAGCATGCCTCTCAGACAACTGTGTCCCTCTGAGCCAGTAAGCCGAGATGCCCACAGAGAAAGGCTTGGGGAGGGAAAGTGGCTGAGGCCAGGCCCATCATTCTCACATCAGGAGGGGGTCCAGAGTTGGCTTTTTACAGATAAGCCCTCCCAGGCTTTCCCTGTAAAGTCTACATTGGAACAAGTCCAGAATCCAGTTCTCTCTGCTTGCTCTCCTTGGACCCTGCTTCACCCCCTGACTCTTAGCTTCCAACCTGGAGAGTTGTAACTCAGACCACTGACATTCCCTTTGAATGGAGACCTGGCTCCTGGCCCCGGCACCTCACATCTAATCTTGAGGCTGTTCCCTTCTGCTTCCACTCAACTGGGTTAACTAATGCTGGGAGCCAATGGTGCTTTCTCTCTGGTTCCCAAAATGCTTTGTCTCAATCCCGTGTTGTGGTATTGCTGTCCTGAGTGCTCCTAACCCTCCTGGGAACGTTTTTCCCCAAACACACTTGGAACTTATAAAACACAGAGCAAAGAAAGAAAACAGGAACAGAGTTCAGAGATAATAACCTTTGCCGTTTTTGAACTTGATACTGTATGAATTTCTATAAGAGTTACAAACTATTCAAAGGTTATAGGTAAAATTAAGTCACTGTTCTGTGGGGCAGGAGTGTCTGGAAGGGCAGTCCACAATGCTTAGGATCCCAATCATTCCCTTAGAGTTTGTTAGCTGTTTCCTGTATGACTAGCCCATTTCCGTCTAGGCTTGAAGCTGCTTAGGGTGGAAGCCACATCCTTACCCTGATGCATTCATTCATTGGATGTTCAGATATGCTGGGGGTGGGGTGAAGGAAGTGGGCTTCTTGAGGAAGGGGGCTTGGTGGTGATGCTCCCCGCTGCCCAGGCTACCTTGGGAGTCCAGAACAATTGGCATTTGGCCCTTCCCCGTTTGGCTCCCTACCCACTCAACCAGCTTCTCTCGCCCAGGAGCCCTACCTGCAGAGCCTGTGTGACTGCTGTAGCTACCATCTAGATCCTGACAGCCCTGTGCGGCTCCTGAACCTCCACTGCCCTGACGGCCACACAGAGCCAGTGGTGTTGCCAGAGATTCACAGCTGCCAGTGCAGTGCCTGCCAGGGTGGGTCTGGCTGAGGAGGGAGAGGGGCTCTGTAGGACCATCCTGGGCCAGGTCGGAATTCCCCTTCAGGAGGCCTTAGGAGCATGCATGCACGGCACATGGTCCCCTTCTTCCTTGGCTTTACCAGTCTATTCTGATCCTTTCCCCTCCCCAGCATTCTGCTTATTTCCTTTCCAATTACACATAAACTTGGGTGTTTGCAGTAATTGTACCTGGTTCAAATCTCAGTCTTGTGCTGAGGTCAGTACTCAGGACCCCGTCCCTTGAACAGGCCTGACCTGTACACAGGCTTGCCGGGAGGACTCTGAAGGGCATGCATGTCAAGTAGCTGGCGGGTTAAGTCACTTACCTGATGTGTATAACTGAGGTGGTATGCCAAGTGTGGAGGAGACACAGGAGGGACAACACAACCTAGGTAGAGGGCACGGAGGAACTGGCGGCACCCTGCACACCTTCAGGCATTTTCGTCCTCCAGCTCACCCTGCACGTCCCCTAGCTCATCGTCCTCTGCCCTGCCCCATTTTGTCTCACTAGTGCATCTTCTCACTAGCCCATTTCAAAATTCTGTCTGCAGATGGTGATTTCTCAAAGCACTGACAGGCTCCGCTGGATGTATCCAGGCTGTCTCTCGTAACCATGGGGCTCTACGGCACTCCCCACTTCCTTCAGTGCCCACTTGCCCGCCTCTGGCTCTAGACCTGTGGCATTAGCATATTCCCAATAAAGTAATGCTGGCAACTAATGCTGACAAACTACTGTGTGGTCTCTGTTCCTGGACCCAACAGGGGACTGGAGGGAGAGCTCAGCCTGGACCTGAGCAGCAGCTCTGGCGGGCCCACCGTGCGTCCTCATGGCACTCTTGAATAAGTCACTCCCCATCACTGCCCGAGTTTCCTCAGCTGTTGTAGGACAGGGTTGAATCTGAAGTCTGAAGAGCTCCTGTGTTAGGCATGAGTGTCATATCCTTCAACCCAGTGTGATTCCATCACAACACAGAGAATTCTGGAATTCTGGAGTGTTCAGGCTGCCGTATTCCAGAAGAGGGCATCAGATCCTCCTAGATATGGTTGTGAGCCACCATGTGGTTGCTGGAAATTGAACTAAGGACCTCTGGAAGAGCAGGCAGTGCTCTTGACTGCTGAGCCATCTCTCCAGCTTGTGTGTGTGATTTTCAAGACATGGTCTCACTGTGTGAGACCTGGCTGGCCTGGAACTCACTATAGACCAGGATGGCCTTAAACCCAACAAAAATCCACCTCCTCTGCCTCCTGCGTACTGAGATTACCCATGTGAGGTGCCACACTCAACCTGAAATTCATTCTTTTTTACCTTTAAACTATGACTTGATTATAAAATAAAGTTGCACAAACATCACTGCTGTCCAGTTTTAGAACATTTCCATTGCTCCCTGCCCTCTGACAACCAACCTCTCCTGATTCTCCAGGCAAGCACTAAACTGCTTCTCATCTCAATAGAATTGCCCTTTCTGGACATTTCATGCAAACGTTGGACTTCTTTCAGTTAACCTGATGATTCTGAGGCTCACTGACATTATTATATGCAGCAGTAGTTCATTCCCTTTTAATGGTAAATAGTAGCTATTGCATGGGTCTTCTACAAAATGCCCATCATCTGCCAGTTGATGGACATTCCTTGTGGCTTGCCTGTCCATCTACCAGTTGATAGAGATTCCTATTGCTGCTGGGTTTTCTATTATGTGAACATTTTGTACAAGTCTTTGTGAGGGGATAATTTTATATCCCAGCACCCACATGGGAGGTAGGTTGGGCAGCGCTCACCTATAACTCTAGCACTGGGGGTGCGCACACACACACACACACACACACACACACACACACACACACACACACACACACACACACACACACACACACACACACACACACACACACACACACCATAAATCCAGCATGATGGGCTGGCCTGTAATCATGAGGCTAAGGCAGGAGAATCAGGCGTTCAGGCGTTGTAGCCACCTTGGGCTACAAGGTGACATGCTGTTTTGTTTTTGTTTTTATTTTTTAAGAAACAAAAATAGAAATGTAAAGAAAAAGTATTACTTTCTTGATCAATCTTGTTGATCTGTGTGTACTAGTGGGAGTTATTCACACCAAGAGGAGCCGGTCCAGGCTGGACTCTCCAGGCTGGACTACACCTCCCATGAGCCTCTCCGCCTCGGGGAGGTGGCAGCCGTAAAGTGCTGCGCTAGTACCGCACTGGTCCCAGCTCATCACTACCTCTGCCAGCGCAAACGCTACCGCCTCCCGCTGTGGGAGAGCGAAGTTTGCTGGCTCGTGTCTCCCCTGCCCCTGTGACTCGGCTCCGGGATCCTAAGTCCCGAGTGGGCCGCGGCGGCCTCGGAACAGACCTGGAGGCAGTCTGCACGGCCGCTAGAACCTGGCCATGGAGCCCGGGGAGACGGGGAAGGTAGGGCTGGAAGGGCACGGGGCTGCTCTCTGTCGCTCATCCCGGTCCGGGCTAGCGGATGAGCTAGCCTTGCGGGAAAGTGTTCGCCCGCCTGCCTTATCTTCCTCGGCTGGGAGATACTTACTCATCCTGGCCCCAGCATCCTCTACTCCCTGACCCCACTTCGGGTCAGCCATTCCTCTGCTTGTGGCCACTCTGCCTGTGGTCTCGGGGTGGGGGACTAGCCAAGCATAGTGATGCCAAAGTGCTTCTGGTTCCCTTTCCTCCCTTTGGCGTTTGGAGGAGGCCTTGCTTTTAGAAGCTGCATAGGACGCCAGGGGAATCAAAGGGTGGAGAACTGAGAAGTGGAGAGAGAGCCTGGCTTTTCCTTGTTCCTCCTTCCCAAGAAAGGGAAAAAAGGCTCCTGGCATTTTCTTGCATACTTCTACTTCTAGTTTATCTACTTCATGAAGAATGTGGGCATGGCTTAGAAACACACTCCACAATCTTACTTCAAGGCTTTGGGCAAGAAGAGGCTTTGGAGATGGGAGATGAGGTAGGGTAGAAAGTGGAGCAGAGGAGCATTGACAGGATTGCTGGGTTGTGGGCACACTGCCTGAGAGACAGGCATCCTCTTAAGAGTAAGGTCTTTTCTGGTGTTCTTTGCATCTAGTTCTTTTGTGCAGGCTTGCAGTGCTGGGGATCGGACTCGGGGCCTTGGACCGAGGAGACAAGGGTTCTACCCACTGAGCTACATCCTCAGCTCTTGCAGCCCTTCTTGAGGATTTGCGGGTGGGGCACGGAAGGAATTTTCTCAACAAACGTTTTCAAATGCTTATGTGACTTCTCTCCCCTCTGTCCCTCTCCATCTCCTTTGTATCCATTTAATAAATACGTGTACTCTGAGATTTGCATTGAGTAAGATGTTGGAAGTACAAGAATAATAGAAAGGAACCTTATTCCACAGAGAGCTCTTCTGTGGTTTCCACTTGAGTAACTTGGATGCGCTTGGGAAAGTTGGCCCACGGAAGAGGAAAAATGAGGAGGATATTTTGGTGCCATAATTTTATCTGGAAAGGCTCCTGTCTCAGAAAAGCAGTTGTTCTTTGTGTAAGCTTCTCTTCCATCCCCCCTTCACCCAATTCACTAGCTACAGAGATTTTCCAGATCTAGCAGTCTACAGAATATCTGGGTGAGGGCAAGGTCAACTGAATCTGTACGAATGAAAGCTGTTTGGCCAGTGTGTGTTAGAAACTATGGGAAACACACAGGCATACACACTAAAAGGAAGGGCCCTTTCTCTTGAGTAGTATCTTCAGATTGGTTTAGATTGAACTTGAATTCAGATGAGGAAAGGGGCTGTGGGTATTAAAAATGGCATCAAGATTAGAGTTAGTGGTTTAAGGTTCATTACCAAGCTCTTCTCTCAGTAGTAGCCTTCCTTAACCTTTAACAAACGAAGAGAGGAATATAGATCTTTTGGAGGAAGCAAAGGAATTTGATTTTTTTTTTTCAGATCCAACCACTAATTGAAAATCTCAAGGCTCAGAAATCTCCCCTTGATTCCAGTCTGGATTGCAGGGTGTCTCCAAAAGGCTTAGCCCTCCCCAAGTGTATATGTTTTCTACCCTGAGACATGAGAACATTATCCAAAAATGGGAGAAACCTTGTGAAAGCAACTCACAGTAAAGACGCATTGCAAACCAGTGAAAAGACAAAGGCCTGGGTAGAAAATGAACTCAGATTCTGAGCAGAAAGCTGTGAAATTGGGGAGTCCATTTGCAATGGCTCCATCTCTTTGCCAGAATACCACTTAGTTGATACTTTGTGACAATTACTAACTAAAAGCAATCTCGGGCTGTTGGATTGTAGGTAGGATATGTTGCCTGTCATTGATAGAATATGGAAAGAGGTCAAAGACTTGTCATCCTGCATCCAGTTATTCTGTTTTGTTTTTGTCTCAGCCCTGGTCTCTACAAATTTCTCTTACTTGTTTCTATATTTTTTGGCTTTACTTGTAGTATCTCCAGTTAGAACTGTAGAACATCCCCTGGTATCAAAGAGACTCTGAGCAAGCATTTTCTAAAAGGATGACTCATAAAGGAGGGTGGGGGACACAAGTCTAGCCCACCATGCTGTCCTGGGGGTTGTGCTGGTGGTGGTGCTGGGCATGTGTAGGAGTCTGCACATGTACTTCATGGATGCGTCTGTTGCTTCCTGGCCATCTCTGTCTTTTCTTATGGAAATGATCAATCCTTTATCATTTTTGTCCCAATCCAGTTCTGTTATTGCACTTTGAGTCTCTTTCTACATCTACAGACCACTGTTTGGCAGCAGATAAGAACACTTAATAAGTGTACGTTGAGTGAAAAAAAAAAATGAAGTAATTGACTATGAAATTTTTTTTGTGTGATGTTGTGGGGGAGAGGGAGTGGTACCTGTGAGGCGTCTTATAAAATAAACAGCCAAGCACAGGTTTCCTGCCCCAACGTAGGGGAGAATTGAGGCATTCCTAGGTTGGGGTAGGAACCACACTGGGACTAGTAAGGAAGCCCCTCCTAGGAGACAGAATGTGGATAAGACCTTGATGGGTAGGCAGACTATAAGTAGTGGGAGAAAAGGGTAGTTAGGGAACCTAGGTTTGGGGTATAGAGAGAGGAAAGATCAAGGTAGGTTGAGTGATGGGAGGAGGAGAGACTCCTGTGGGGTGAGCTAGAGTGAGGACTGAGCTTCGTGTTGAGGGGGTTTGAGTGCCTAATAGAGGAGCCGGCTAAAATAGAATATTCAGATACACTTTGCATCCTACAGAGATAAGAAATTTCTCTTATTCAAGCAGATTTGAGGCTTTATACTATAGTCACCCAGAAGCAGAAAGGTGTTTGCCACAATGTAGCTTAAAAGAGGGGTGCCAGGTATCTGTGTATCACCCTGGGTAAAAAGACATGTCTTCATTCCATATTCAGTTTCTGCCTCATTGTGCTGCTCAAGATACGGGACCATCAGCCTTCACTATGGTGCCTTCTCAACCCGGGGAAGCGGCGTGAATAGGAAGCCTTGTGTCCCTGCTCACAAGAGTTTCAGGTTTTCATTTGCTTAGTTGGTTTGTTTTTAGAGATAGGGTCCCATTATATATACCAGGCTAACCTTCAACTCTTGGTCACTCTTTGGCAGCCTCCAACTGATGGGCAGGTGTGCTCTACCATATCCTGTGGGTGACAGATTTAAAAAAAACAAACAAACAAAAAACCCTGCATCTCTAGGGATAGACTGCCCTCTGGTCCTGATGTTCAGCATTCATCCTGGGATCAGATCCCCCCCCCCCACCACACACACACACACACACACACACACACACACACACACACACACTTCTCCACACTAATCCCCTTAGACTGTCTTTGCACGTGCCTCCTTCCTGTCTGGCTGCTTCCTTTTAGTGGAGTCCACTTTGCAGTAGCATTTGGAAGACTCTGTAAGCACAAATGCTTGTTATAAGTGAATGTTTTGCAATATCATTTCACTCCTGTCGTTTTTTTCTTTATCATGTTGTATGTGTGTAAGTCAGGGGTCAGCACTTGCAGGAGTCAGTACTCTCCTTCTACCATGTGGGACCTGGAGACTTAACTCAGGTCATTAGGCTTGGCTGCAAGTGCCTTTACCAGCTAAGCCATTTGGCTGGCCCCTACTGCTACTTTAAAAAAATGTTCCATTTTTATATATTCATAGATAAAACATTCGGAGGTCATATACCAATCAATAGTAATTCTGTTTCAATGATGGGAATGAATATAAAACATTTTTTTTTTTTATTTCTGGGGCCTGGAGAGATTTCCTTCTGCTGTTAAGGACACTTGTTGCTCTTGAAGAGGATTCAAGTTCAGTTCCCAGCAACTATATGGTGGATCACAACCATCTGTAACTCGAGTTCCAGGGGATCTGACACCCTCTTTGGACTTTCCCAGGGCCAGGCATGAGTGTGGGACATGAACATACATGCAAGCAAAACACTCATACAATAAATACTATAATTTTTTTATTTTTTAAATGAGGAGAAGCAATTGAGAAAGACACCCGATACTCATCTCTACTCTACATATTCACATGTGTACACACACACACACACACACACACACACACACACACACACACACACAATATAAAAATAGAGACTTCTTAGGTCAGCCTCATAAAGAAGGCTCTGATTGAGTTCAGTGGCTGTGACTTCCTAATTTTATTCCACTGTGATGTGCACTCACATAGCAAGAGAGATTGGTTGCAGGTTGTGTATGTACATCAATAATGCTTCTCACTCTGCCCCACACACTGGTAAATTCGTAGAGTAGGAGCTCTGACTGCCAGTGTGGAAGATGTGTCTCAGGAACTTGATACTTAAGCAGGGATCATTTTTCCTCCTCAGGTTCCTGTGACCTTTGGTGACATCACACTGTACTTGCTACAGGAGGAATGGATGATGCTGAATCAGCCCCAGAAGGACTTTTTTGCTTCAAACAAGCTGACAGCACCTCTAGGTAAGGATTCCTGCATCTACCACGGCCAGTCTAGATCCGCGTCCCCAGCCTCACGTGGGTCAGGACATACTGGGGAATTTTCTGCAATTCTTGGGTTTCTCTGGGTATCTTTTTCCATCTGCTCAACCCCAGTCCTTTTCTCCTCTTTGTAAGTTGGCCAGGACAAATAGAGAATGCCAGGCGGTCTGATGCTTTGGGCTGTTTCCACAGTGCAGAGTGGGAAACAGTCTGTGGGTCTGTGGAGCCCCCGGGATCCTGGAGGGAGTCAGTAGTGGTGGCCAGAGCATTGGTTTTGCGAATCTCTTCTCTCTCCAGCTCCACACACTGATGCTTGGGTGTACTTTCGACCTCGTAGGCCTTGATTTTCTTCTTAAGACAGTTTAATGAGATGAAATGAACCGAGAAACTTTGTACAAATGTAGGTGTTTTTCATTGTTTCTGTTTTAGTTTTTAAACACTTTTCTCTGCTTTTGTCTTACCTTCTGTACCGAGGACAGAAGTGATTGTGTTCCAAATGTTTGTGCATACATATGTTCTATTCTAGATTGAGTATCCATAATCCAAAAGTCTGCTATCTGAAATCCTGCAAACTCTGAAACTTTTAGAGAGTCACCTGTACTCATAGGTTTTCGATTTTTATAGTATTTTAGATTAGAAGTACTCTACCTGTAAAGTGCAAATACTTAAAAATCTGAAAAATTCCAAAACCTTATAGTCTCATGTAGCTCAGGCTGGCCCTCAAATTCCCTAAAAAGCCATGAATGTCCTTGAATTTCTGATCTTCCTGCCTCCCCAAATGCTGGGATTAAACTCAGAGCCTTGAGCTTTCTAGGCGAGCACTGTGTCAACTGAACTACATCCCTAGTACCCATGGCCCTGAGCCTTTTGGATGAGGGTAATTAACTTGTGTTTGTTGGATGAGGGTATGAGAGTTGTGACCTCAGTGTTCTGTGGGTGGTGGGGTTGTAGCAAGGCTGGGTCCTATCGCTGTGCCTGCTTATAAAGTTGAAAACCACCAAGACTCTGAAGCTTCAAGTTGCAAAGCAGTAGCTCACAGCCAGCTTTGACTCACAGTGGGAGTTCTGTTCCATTTGCTTTGCTGTTTCGGCTTTTGCTATTTTAGTTTGGGGTGTCTACAAAGTGTTTAAATTGCCAATGTTGAGCTACAGGGAGTTTTCATGTGCAAGTATAGCTCTCTGGCATCTCTTGGCAAGTGGGACTGTGTGCCAGGGCTGGATCTATGTCCAACATGGTTGCCTTCTATTTACTTTTATTATTATGGGTATGAGTGTTTTTCCTGCATGTATGTCTGTATATCCTGTGTATGCCAGGTGCCCATGGAGGCCAGAAGAGGGTGTTAGATCCTCTGGAACTGGAGTTACGGATGGTTGTGAACTGCCACATGGGTGCTAGGAACTGAGCCAGGGTCCTCTGGCTCAGCCAGTGATCTTAAGCATTGAGCCTTCTCTCCAGCCCTGTAACCTGACAATTTAATGTCATTTTAGCTTTGCCTGTGCCCGCCCTTGATTTTGCTGGCTACCCTATTCTCTTGGAGGTCTCACAGATAGCAGAATTTCTAAACCACTAAGCCAGACCACCTGATTCTCACTTTCCTATACCACCCACGGTCTCACAACATGGAGGCTGTCCCAGGCAGAGTCCCCCCTTGGTGTCAGGACCTGGAGCCAGGCCCTCATGGCTTTTCCGTGTTCCCAACCCAGGACCAACTGCTGCCAATCCTGAGCTGTTCCATGCATTTGGGCAAGGGGCTGAGCCATGGCTAGGCAACATCCAGGGCCAGATGTGTCTCCTGAACCATCATCCTGGTGAGTGTAGTCTGTTCATGAAGGCGGTACATACTGACAAGGAGCAGGGTGGGCACTAGGAGCCAACCGCACCCTATCTGCCTGTTCCCACCATGCGCAAGAGGAACATGTCCTTCCCACAGATGTCACTTATCTGAGTGTGCACCACACCCTCTCAACCCCCTCCTTGGATTTCTGCCCTACAGCCAGTGTTAATACTGAAAACTCCAAGGTGGTGTGACAGTCTTACTTCCCGCTGTATTTTCAGTGTCCATGGCGGTGCCTGGCACACAGTAGGTCTAAAATTGTCATCGAGTGAACGGAACAGTGAGACAGCTATCTGCTAAGTCCTAAGGGAGGCGTCTCTGCTTTAGGAGATGACAGAGTTAACCCAGTTCTCCTGCGAGAACACAGGCAGCGGGGCTGTCTCTCCTGTGTGAGTCAGATCCACAGCGTCTGCTCTCTCTTGTGGTTTCCTCAGCTAGACCACAGGCATCTCTGGACTGCTGTGATTGCAAAGAAACCCAGAGGCCCATTTGTTTCCTTTTGTCTCCCCTTGCGTGGCTCTTTATTTGTGGCCTACTGGCTGTTAGTAACTTCATGCCCAGTTCTTAGACTGAATTAAAAAGAGCCCTTGGCCACTGAGCACTGAAACTTAGCTTGAGGATAAGAAGTGGTTCCAGGGAATTACAGTTTCGTTTCTGTAAAGAAAGAAACTTGTAGTTTAGTTTGAAGAAGAAAAGGCTTCATGTGGCCATGAGCATTTTGAACTCTGAAAGGTTAGGGTGTAATAGAGGGACACTGGGTCCTGAGTCCCTCATCTGCATCAGCAGCTCGAACTGCAGTAGCCCCATTTGTCTGCAGTGTGTACTCCCTTTATCCATGGACTCCCCGTGGTGTTAGATAACCAACTGTCGGCCACAGTTAATGTAAGGCAGGAAGGTATTTTAAAGAAGAGAGGCCACATTTCCATGACTTTAACTACAAAATTATTATGTTCCATTTTGTTATTGCTACTTGCTTACTATGCCTAAGTTATAAATGAAATGTTATCACTTTTATGTATAGATGGGAAAAAATACAGTACATCATCTAGGACCCTCCATGGCCCAGGCATCTATTGTACGCAGAGGTGGATTGCAGCTTACCAGCTGCTGTCTGTCTGGGAACTGCAGCTGTGCCCAGCGCATAGGTGGCTGCCTTGCCTTAGGTTCTTAAGCAGAATGCAGGGGCCTCTCTGCCAGGCCCACCCCAGAAAGAAGTTCCTACGAGTGAGTTGCAGTCTGGCTCCTCCATCTCTTTAAACCCTGTGTTGCCCTGCACTTGGTGTTTTATCCTAAGTAAGCTCTGAACCTAGCAGAGGGCCACTGTCTGAGGTGGCCTTGGTCAAAGTGCAGCCATGTCCATTTGATCCAATGTGTCTATCTCCCCTTTAATTTATTTGAAAGGAAACATTTGCTTAAAGCACACTTGCTTAATTTCCTTCTGGGGAAGCAAGATGGGTATGAGGAGTCAGGCAAGTGAAAGTCAAGAATTCAATTATGATATTCTTTAGAGCAAGTAGAGAGGAGGGGGTGTCATTTTGAACTGAGTGTGTCCTTCTACCATTTGTATATTGATGGCTCTCAGACCATAGGATTTCAAATTTCAATGATCTCTTTCTTTGAAAGGAAAAACCCACATGAACTACATGGAAGAAATAGATGTGCCGGGTTCTGCCAGAGAGCAAGGACCATACCTACCACCTCAAAAGAAAGCCTGCCTTACCCACTTCAGCACAGAGAACAGCACCATCGAGGGAGACTGGACAGGAAGAAACAGCCCCCAAGACAAGAACCCCCGTTCTGTCCAGAAGTCGTGGTTCACACAGTTTCCATGGTTGATCATGAATGAGGAACAGACGGCTCTGTTTTGTGCTGTCTGCCGAGAATACCCATCTGGCAGGGACAGACGGTCAAGATTAATAGAAGGCTACACAGGACCATTCAAGGTGGAAACTCTCAAATATCACGCCAAGAGCAAGGCCCACATGCTCTGTATCAACACCCTGGCCACCAAGGACCCCATCTGGGCAGCCCACCTCCAGAGTCTCAGGGAGAGTTCCTCAGATATCCTGGCCAGCCCTGACCACCTCCTCACTGCAGACTGTCCCACGTTCTACCCTCCAGGGCCCCTGGGAGACTTTGATGGCATAGCCAAGCTCCTGTCAAGCCCGAGAGCTGAACTAGAGGACCCTCCAGGGAGTGGAGCCATCCCTGCTTTGCATCTAGACTGCATGTCAGATTTCTGGCAAAAAGAAATTGGCAGTGACATCCTCAATCCCTCAAGTAGCAATACTTTGTGTAAGGACACTACTGAATTCTGCAGCCAGGTAATGTGTTTATTGATTGCTGTGCCTTAGAGGGGACTCATATTGAAAGTGACAGTAAAAAAAAGAACAGTAGTGGTATTCATCACTGACGTCATAGGGTCACCAGAGCACACATGCTTTTCTCTTTTTTGATATTTCTTTTATTTATTTTTTTATCTGTGTAAGTGTCTGTCTGCACAGGTGTTTGTGCATCACATGTGTGCAGTACCTGTGGAAGCCAGAAGAGGGCATTAGATCTCCTGAAACTGGAGTCATAAATATTGGGAGCTGCCATGTGGGTACTGAGAATTGAACCCAGGTCCTCTGGGAGAGCAGCAAGTGCTCATAACCACTGAGCCATCTCTCCAACCCCAGCTCACATTATTTTAAGGCACTAGATATTGCTTTAAATGCTTTATAGGTATTAACTCATTTAACTGGGACAACTGCTGGATTATCTTCTGTTTTATAGACAGCAAAGCCTAATTCATGGTACAGAGCATCCTGACTTTCCGTAGAAGGAATAGCGATCTTTATCCAGCATTCAGAACAGCCACAGAACTCAAGAATCAGTCCATCACAAACTGAGCATAGACTGTGTTGTGATATTTAGTATCTTTAATGTTTTAACATCAGAGTTTTCACAGATGCTATGTGATGAGCTGTGTCTAAGGCTACTCTGAGGTGATAGAGCAAGAGTTGCTAAATTCACCATATTGGGAGAAAACTGAGACTCAGAAAGAAGTGACCTCATGGAGTCCAGAATCCACAAGCTGTTGTGGCCAGTGCTGGCCTTTGCCCAGAGCTCTGGCCACCAGCCTGGTACTTTCCTTCCATTTGGTACAGCTCTGCTGGACCACACTAGATGATAATGTTCAACTTGTGTTTATTTCATGGTTACCTAATTTCCTGGAGAGTTGGTAGCTAAGGAAACTGTTCACTGAGATCTTTGAGTGACTTGAATTTTCCCCAGCTCTCAACTATCACAAGCAAGTAGAATTTAACAGTTAACCATTGGTGGTCGGGGTCAGTGGGTAGCTCAGATGTTCCTCACAGATAGCATCTTAGGAGCCTTCTTCTGGGTGGTCAAGTTTCTCCAGAATCCAGAGAAAGAGCAAAGCTTCTCTTCATGTTTTTGTTATTTTTTTAGTGTTAGGAGGTAATAACAGGTCTGACTTCCAAGCCTCAGGATTCTAGCAGTGTGGTGTGCATAAAGCCCTCCCTAGTTCTAAGCCCCTTCAGTTCTTTTTAACCGCTGCTTCCTTCACATCCTGTTGGTAGACCCTGGAGGCAGACAGTCCTCTCTACAGCCACAGTGGGTTTAGGGTGACCATGGGATTTGAGGTGACAGCCAACAGTCAGAGGTACTGTGCTGCGAGTTTTTCTCTTTCCTGAAGACACTTGGATCTGACTGAGCCAGTTTGGGTTCTGTACTATCTAAGTAAGGCTCATGGATTTGATGACTTTCAGCAGGGAATCCATTTCTGGGCTGCTTGGTGGAATTCCAGGGAGAAAGGTGTCTTCAGAAGGCTGCAGTCATGCCTCGTGCCTCACTCCAACAGTGGGCTGAGTCGTGCTGCTCTGTGTTGCAGGGGCCTCCTGACAGCAGGCAGCTGAAGGATCCCAGGATGTTCGGGGAGCTCCCTGCAACGTTTGAGGATGTGGCCGTGTACTTCACTCGGGAGGAGTGGGGCCTGCTGGACAAGCGGCAGAAGGAGCTCTACAGAGATGTGATGCAGATGAACTACGAGCTGCTGGCTTCCCTGGGTAAAGCTTTCCATAAGCTTTTACACACCACAGTCATTGGCTCAGGGACCTCAGAGCAGCTGTGGCCTTCTCCCAGTCTTGCCCTTTCCTTTGGAGCAGAGAGTGAGCCTGTCTTCTGTCCCTCCGAACGCTGCCTGCTTTGGGTCACTGTACAGTGTCGCCTCTTCAATCATCTTTCTGTCCATCCACCCCTCCCCCACTCACATTCACTGAATACCCGATACTTGCTGGGTGCTGTGGGGCGTTTAGGGACTAGTGGACTTGTGGCAGCAGCAGGCCTTTGAAGGAAACTGTGAGACATCTGAGTTCATAAGAAGGTTCTGGAAGAGTGCCCTTGGGCTACTGAAATGGGGTAGGGAAGTCTGGGTGTGGGAGGGAGGAGTCAAGACGTCTTCAGAGAAGTATTATGGGGGACACAAAACCAGGTCCCCCAGATGGAGGAAGGGTACCTAGACAAGACAGGGGATGGGAGCAGCATGAGCAGAGCCTGAAGACGAATGGGTCTCTCAGGGTTCCCACTCCATCTGAACAGCCTGAGGCTCTTCCATCTTTTCCAGGTGCCAGCACAATGCCCTGGGCATTCATGTCAGCAGGCCTGGGCCTTGGAGAGTTAGGGTAGCAGAGACTGACCCCTCCTGCCTTTGTTTCTCATGTGCGTCTTTGTGGCAGACACCCCAGGGTGCCATGCCGCCTCAGATGGGGAGACAGCTGTTGTGTTTAGAGTGGTGTTTCCTGGTGTCACTGGTGTGCACAGTAGCAGGAGCTGGCAGAGCAGGCCGCCATGCACGCCCGGGAACTGCAGCAGCACCTCTCCTAACGTCTGCTTGTGGAATGACTTCTCTATGGCTCTGTCGGTGGGCGTGTCCTTTGTTTACACTACAGCCGCAGTCCGGATTACTTTCTAACACACCGTTTTTGTTTGTTTGTCTTTTCGTGTGTATGAGTGTTTTGTCTGCATGTGTGTCAGTGCACCGTGTGTGTGCAGTGCTGGTGGAGCCCGGAGGAGGCATCAGATCCCGTGGAACTGGAGTAGCAGATGGTTGTGAGCTGCCATGTGAGTGCCGGGAACAAACCTGGGTTCTCGGAAGAGTGACAGTGCTCTTAACCACTGAGCCATCTCTCCAGCTCCACTTTCCAACATTCTCCTTCTGTATACTTGTTTTTATTATTATTCATAATTCCATAGTTACTCTTACATGTGTGTGGTGCAGAAGTTTCAGTCTGGGCCTTGTATGTGTTGGGTAAATGCCCTGCCACTGCAATAGCTGTTTGCAGTCTTACATGGCTTTCCAGACAGTTCAGAAGTTACTTGAGTAGTCATTATCTCACGGTGACAGAGGACTTGTCTTTGTCCCTTAGATCTGGTGCCTGTGATGGTGATGTGCTTCCAGAACATCAATGCCGCTGCTGTACAGCTAGGAAGCAAGATCCAGGGGAAATTCATTTGCAAAAATTGCATGCCAGCTGGGCAGGAAACTGAGGCAGGAGGCTCACTGTGAGTTTGAGGCCATGCTGGATACAGAGACTTCCAGATCAGCCAGGGTTACAGAGTAAGACCTTATAACAGACAAACAAAGTAATTACACACTGACTTTAAAAAGTTGAGTTTTCTTTTCTCAAAGTAGCCTACAGTAGCAAGGCAGTTTGCTTCCAGATAATTTTGCATTATCTTTTAATTTTTAAAACCTGTTCCTTGTATCTTAGCTCAAAATACTATGATCTGCATATATAGGAATGCTTCATGGTTTTCTTTTAGTAAGGGTTTTCTTTTTTTTTTTTATTCTTATGTCTGGAAATGGCAGCAGTGGCTTTGCTGTGGCCTGAATGTCTGCCAAGGGCTGGACCTGTGTTAAAAGCCTTCTGTATGTTTGATGTGATATTTAAACCAATTCTGAAAGTAGGCAGTAATATTTTCCATATGAGAGAACAGTGCCCAGACCGCAGTCATTTATCTGGTAAATTCCAAAGTGAATCCTACTGTCCTGTCTACTGAATGTACAGTGGACTCGGTTAAAATCCCTATTTTGTATGTCTGTTACTGGTTGGACTCCTTTCTTTGAGTTGAGACATTCGTGTTCATCGTGTTGGTATTAAAATGATGGCACCATGCATAAGATACGGTCATTTAAAAGTTCACGCAGCAGCAGAAGATGCCAGTCTTTTCATTTGTCGTATCCCATCCCCTTTGCGGGTAGCTAACAGTTGGTCTTTCACACTGTCCCTGTGGATCGCTGCTGGTTCTGTCACCTTAGAGAGAAGTGGGTGACATCCCATTGTGGCACACTTGCCACACACTTCCTTTTGTTCTTGCTTTAGTTTATCTCCACACTGCTTCTTCTCAGAGTTTATAGTGGGAAAGACAACTACAGAGTTCCAATGTTATTTCAGAGCTGTTTTTATTTTTATTTTTTTTTTTTTTTTGGTTTTTTCGAGACAGAGTTTCTCTGTGTCGTTTTGGTACCTGTCCTGGATCTCACTCTGTAGACCAGGCTGACCTCAAACACACAGAGATCTGCCTGGCTCTGCCTCCTGAGTGCTGGGATTAAAGGCGTACACTACCACCGCCCGGCAAGTTCGTTATTCTTGAGTCTGGCTTTTATTTTGGTTTGTAGCTAATGATGGAATAGAGGGCCTTGCTCAATCTAGGCAGGCAAAGCAACTTTGAATGAAAATGGCCCCCATGGCTCATAGGGAGTGGCACTGTTAGGAGGTGTGGCCTTGTTGGAAGAAATCACTGGGGGTGGGCTTTGAGGTTTCAGATGCTCAAGCCAGGGCCATTGTCCCTCTCTCTGCCTGTTCCCTGCCTATCCAGATGTAGAACTCTCAGCTCCTCTCCTGCACCATGTCTGCCTGCATGCTGCCATGCTTCCAGTCATGATGATAATGGACTAAGCCTCTGAACTGTAAGCCAGCCCTTTATAAGAGCTGCTGTGATCAAGGTTTCTCATCACAGCAATAGAAACCCAAACTATGACAACCACTGTCTTAGGGTTACTACTGCTATGATGAAACACCATGACCAAAGGAACTTGGGGAGGAAGAGGTTTATTCACTGTATGCTTCCACATCACAGTTCATCACCAAAGGAAATGGAGACAGGAACTCAAGCAGGGCAGGAACCTGGAGGCAGGAACTGATGCAGAGGCCATGGAGGGCGCTACTTACTGGCTTGCTCCTCATAGCTTATTCTGCCTGAGTTCTTATAGAACCCCAGGACCACCAGCCCAGGGATGGCACCACCCACAATCACTAATTAAGCAAATGCCCTACAGGCTTGCCTACAGCCCTGTCTTGTGGAGTCATTTTCTCAATTGAAGCTCCCTCCTCTGATGGCTCTAGCCTGTGTCAAGTTGACATAAAACTAGCCAGTACAACCACTGAGTTACATCCCCAGCCCTTGACCTGTTCTCAAACAGAAATTTTAGTTTGATGCAATCAAGTTTAACATTAATTTCCATTCATTTAGCAGTTGGATGGCTCAAAGCTTCTCAGCTCTGTAGACTTGTAACTCACCTGTCACAGGTACCTGGCTGTTCCAACAGTGCTGAACCTACAGAAGACAATCATCTTCTCAAAGAGAGGAGGGCTTGGTTCTATTAGATTTTTCGTGGCTTTGGGGGCGGAACACAGGGCCCCTGCACGCTAGGCCGGTGCTCTGCTCCGAGTTCTGTGTACAGCCTGTCTCTCACGCTCAGTGTTTCCTGTTAGTCTCAGTTTGGGGTTCACTCATTTAGAACTATCTTGTCTGTCATCTGCAGATTGTCTAGCTGTTCTTTTATTTCTGTGTTTTACATTCTGTTTTCACATTCTGATCATGTTTGGTGAGGTCTCTTGCTTCCTGCCAAAAAACAACTAAAAATCTAGTTTACATTTAACCGTTAAGAAACTAAAACTAAAACTTGCCGGGCAGTGGTGGTGCAGAGCCAGGTGGATCTCTGTGAGTTTGAGGCCAGCCTGGGCTACCAAGTGAGTTCCAGGAAAGGCGCAAAGCTACACAGAGAAACCCTGTCTCGAAAAACCAAAAAAAAAAAAAAAAAAAAAAAAGAAAGAAACTAAAACTTGTCATTGGACATGGTGGTACATGCCTGTAATCCCAGGACTCAGGAGGCTGAGGCAGAAGGATCAAGGGTTTGGATGGCCAGCCTGAGACTCTGTGAAGGAAAAGAAAAGGGACAGAGAGAAGGAAGAGGGATGGACATTTGTCAGTAATAGAAACACTTAGGCTGACCTGAATCTTTGGTTTCATTTGGTTTGGCTTGGTTAGTTTGGTTGTTTGGTTATTTTGGTTTGGTCTGGTTAGTTTGGTTGTTTGAGACCTCAGGGGTCTGGTGTATTTCAGGCTGGCCTCAAACTCACTGTATAGTTGAAGATGACATTGAACGTCTAATCCTCCTGCCTCACCTCCCAGGTGCTAAGACTCTAATAGGCATGCACCCCACCAGGTTTATATTGTGCTAGGGATTGAGTCCAGTGCTTTGTGCGTAGAGGGCAAGCCCTCTACCAGCATCCACAGCCCCTTAACCTAGGATTTTTATTAGTAAAGAAGGCATCGTGTGCTAAGCAGTTAGGTCATTTACTTCAGAAGAGCAGTGCCTGCCTCTGAAAGAGAGTCTTAACTACAGCCTGGCCCCATGTGGTTGGGGAGAAGTTGTATCACCTAATGGAAACCAAATCTGAGAGGGAAGATCTGCCCATGAGACAAGAAGGAATGTTAGAATGACCAAGGGGAAGCCAGAGGGCCAACTTCTCCAGAGCTGGACACAGGACTGTGCCTCCAGGTTAGGGCAGCCTAGAGCGAGGGGGTGAAGAACAAGCCAGGACCACAATAATCCTTTTAGATCTGATTTTGGGGGTGGCCCCTGCCACCCTGGCGATGAGGGCAGCCAAGAAGGATCAGCAATCTTTATTGTCTTGAAGTTCTCCAGGTCAGAAGGCCCCGTAAGCTCAGCTGGGCTTTCTACTTTGGTTCTCATAGACCCAGAATCAAGATACTGGCCCAG